CAAAATTATCCAAAGAAATGTCTGTAGCACCCTGGCAGGAGGAAAGTGCATGAGCCCTTGATGACTTTCTGAGGTCCTTTACAGCCTGTGTTATTCTGGCTTTTCAACATTTTTCACGCTTGAATGTGCAGCAGCTGGATTTCCCAGAACATGCAGTTCCAGCTAAATGTATCCAGCTGTATATGCAAACACAGAGACAAAACAATTCCTATGAGCAGATATTATCAGATGTAACTTCACAGGTAACATTCATTACAATTCACGTGAAATATTGAAATCTATGAATCTATGTATTTGTGTTTAACTGCATACATCCTGTGAAACTGAGTTTGCAGAGAGAGAGCACTCTCCTTAGAAGGAGCTGAATTCTTATTCTGTCATTGGGTGGAATAATACATAATTCAAGTTTTGGGAAATATTACTTGGTATCACTTGAGCATAATGCTGAGGCTGATAAGTTCACTCTGAACAATAACTCAGAAATGGGAAAGCCATTTCTAATAGCATAGGCAGACTGCCAGAGTCAAACCTATGGAACTGCACGCATTTTAGAGAGCATGTAAGTCCCAAAAAAAGCAAAGGATTTCTGACACTTAGGCAATATGCTCTGCTGTGGGACTACTAGACTCTTTTCCTTGCATTGTCTAAACAAGACTGTGAAGCTTAAATGAGCATATTTGAACCTCCAATTCAGTTTATTGCACCAACTCCTTTTGATGATTTTATGCAGAAGGCTAAATATTTCACTGAACTCTGCATTGTTTGAATTTTAATACTGTCATACGTAATTAGGTATTTTCTAAGCAATATTATTTGACTTACAGCGAAGACTGCTAGAAGAAATAATAAACCAACACTTTAGTTCAGAACAGGGAAAAAATATGTTCTTGCTCTACTAATTTTCTCACGAAGAAGCTGAATACATAATAGTTTACATCTACCGAAAAAGTATCGTTTTCTCTTTATGTGCCTTGGGTCGTGCTGGCAATGCTTTGGAGGCTACTTTTGTATTTCTTAACTGCAATGTGGATTTACTACCACTAGGTGTTAGCCTTCCTCCATTTGTGAAGAAAACTGTCCTCCCTGAATAAACCTGGCTCATCCGTGGGTGTACCGCTCAAAATGCAAAACAGGGGCCCATCGCGATGGAAGCATCTTTGTAAACATGGAAACAACAAAAGCCTCTCCCGCAAAATCCCCCACAAACAAACAAAAAGTCACAAAAACCCCCCAAATCAACTAAACCAATCCCCCCAAACCAATGTAAATGTTTCAAAAGATTAAAGGAAGAAAAACTGTTGTATCCTGACAGGTTAAGACAGTGTCCCTGTAGCTAGCTCTGGCCAGCAGCTAATAGCAAACATTGAAATGCGACTGTCTTACCTGTAAGAGCTACTCCCAGAAATGTCCCAACACTGCACAGTCAGAGATATTCAACTACACGTTTATTGTCATAAAGCCTTGCTTGTTCATTAGACCACATTTAATATTTACTTTACCTGTAAGAGCTACTCCCAGAAATGTCCCAACACTGCACAGTCAGAGACATTCAACTACACGTTTATTGTCATTGTCACAAGCCTTGCCTGTTCATTAGACCATATTTAATATTTACCAGCCTTTATGGGGGCTGCATGCCTTGCAGGAGGCATTCTGTGGCAGCCTTTAATGTTACATGCACCAATATTTCGCTGTCTCCCACACAAAATAAGAATAAACCACTACGACTGTGTTACGCAACCCAGTGACTGACACATAAGTAAAAAATTGTTGATATATTTACCCATTGTAATACCCACAGACGAAGTCCAATCCTCCTCACTGAGACAAACGTTGCCAAATGAAAAGAGGTGGGAAATGGAGAAGAAATTAGATGAACATATTGTGAAAAGAGGAAAAATCTGTTGACAAAAGAAGTTACAATAACCAAAGCCTTGCAGCCAGGCAAGGCATAAAGCAGCAGTGAGATGCCCACAGAATATAATTTCTCTGAAGAGACGTAGCTTCAAAACAGTTATTTCAGTGCTGGGCATGCTTTTAAGCCCAGAAAATGACATCTATCTCAGAGACAAACACTGCAGGCTGGGTCTTTGCCCAGGACTGTTGAACAGGCTCTATGAACAGGGTCTTGAGTAGGCTCCTTGCTCCCTTTTAGAAGGGGAGTCAGGAGTCAGCTTCACACTGACAGAGAGAACACTGCAGTGGGATGGACTGGTTTGTGCCCTTAAAGAGAGACCTGGGACAGTGGGCCAAATACCTTATTGTGTCAGCTGTGCTCCTCCCCACCCTTCGATGTGGTGGCTTTGGACATCCCAGGGTGCTGCTTCCTTGTCACCTGGCCTCCCATGAGACAGTAGGCAGGCAGAGGAGCTCTGAGGAGCCAGAGGCTGAAGGAGCAGCATAACTTACTCATCTCTGAAACGTCTGAAAATATGTACTGGGAGAATCCATTAAGCTCAGGTTTTATGAAGCCGGGTCTCAAATCTAACAAGCTCAAGACAAAAACAGTCAAGTCTAATGAATATGTTAGTGTTTTGGTTTTTTTTCCCTTAACCTGCATTGATACTCACCTAATGCCAGAAAAATGAAATAATTTTAATTAACAGATGAATTAGAGACCCCATTTTTTAATATGGGAGCATTTGTTAAGACTCACCTGCTGGTAGGTACAAAATCTTCCACTGCAAGTTCTGCTATGAATAAGCGCCTGCTCAAGCATTATATGATCTCATCCTCTGGGTGCACAGTTTAATCACAGTGCTCTCAATAGCGAGCCCACACTAGGGAAGTGGAGTTTAAAATACGAATCTGTGGGAGGCTCTTGAGGTGGCTTCTTGCTAAGTATGGCCGGGAGCAGGGTGATGTGGGGGGAGACGCCACATTAAGAGACCAAGAGGTAAAAGCAACTCCATAAAACTGTCACCAGCAAACCACCACGTGAAAATTTCATGTGCTTTTACTCTGGTGAATTGACCCTGAAATAGTATACAGAAAGAAAACAAAGATTCTGTGTGTGGCAGTACATTACTGTGGCAGTACATCACGTTACTTCCCCCCCCTTTTTTTTCCTCCAGCAACAAACTCAGCTGTTTAAATGGGTAGCAAAACAACTTAATTCAAGATTATTTCATTTTTCCCCTCATCTTTCAGAACTGTTTTAACCTCTCTTCTACTTCTCTCAAAAAAAAAAGCCAAACAAACAATCAAAACAAAAAAAAAAAAGAAAAAAGAAAAGAGAAACAACCTCTTGTAACAAAATGTCAGCAAAGCATCAGATTAAGCTACTTTGCCATTCCACTCCCACAAATGAAAATACTTGGTCAAAACTCTGGTAACTGGATTTTCAACATGGAAAAAGTAATGGTCCACATCTTTGCTACTATATTCTTAGTCTTGTTCAGATGAAACTCCTGTAAATTCTGAGTTTCCATGCTCCCCAAACCACCCCATCTCCTTCCTTAGATCACAGTATCTCCCTGTCAGTGCTGCCCAGACACATTATTCTTTTTTACCACCCATTCCCTTTTCAAAACTTCTGTTTCTCAACTCCTCATCTTCTTCCTCTTCTTCTCTTGGGCAAACTTATCTTGCTTCTCGAAAACTAACTTGCCTTTCCTTCCTTTCCCACTTCTCAAATTTTGAAGGGCTTCTACCCCCTGCCTCTGCATCTTTTGATTGCTACTTCACAGACCACTGCGGTGGGGCACTTGCAGCAGGGTATTGCAGAGAGGGCTTCGTTCACCCCCACGAAAGGAGAGCACTGACCATTGTCTTCACGCTCGTCAGACCTGCCTGTCCTCCGAGCTGTTCTCTCGAGGAAGAAAGCACAGTGAACTCCCACTGGAGAGCAACTGAATGCACCAAGGCAGCAGCTCTCTACTGTTGCTTGCAGAGACACAGAAGCGTAGATTGAATTCAAGCAAAAGCCTGAACAAACGCTTTCTACCAACGCATGTTAAATAGGTGCTTGTGTTTCACGCAGATCCCGATGTACCTAATTAATCCTAATTAAATCTGAGCTGTAAGGGCACCTAAATACACAAATGTGCTCGCAGACATGAGGAGCCTGGCTCTCACGGTGAAGTGCGGCTTGTCAGGCGGCTGGAGGGGACCCACCCGCGCCGAGGTGTCCCTCGCCACCAGGGTCTATCCCCGGCCGGCGGGGCATCCCTCGGACGGCGCTCCCGACGGTGCCATCCGCCGCGTCTCCCTCCGGGAATGAGGATCGGCGGGGGTGGAACGGAGTCCTTCAGGGCTGAAAAACCTGCGTTAGTGATGGGGGTGTCTTGCAAGCCCGAAACAGACCGGGGAGCCGCGTGAGGAGAGAGCGGGCAGCGCCACAGGCTCGCGTTTTGTCCCGCGAAGGCGACAGGAGGGAGGGGACACGGTTGTCTCGCCGGGGTTCTCATTTGGAGAGGGTTGGGACAAGCTTTAGGAAGATTAGCAGGGGTACGGCACAGCGCCTTCGGCAGAGCAGCAGCGTCCCGCCGCTTGCCCGCTCCTGCACCTCGGGGCAAACAGAGGGCTTTTCCTGCCTGCGGAAAACGAGACGTGTCGGAGCAGCCGAGGAGCGAGCCGGAGCCGAAGCCTCGCTCAGGGGGGCTGGGGGAGGCAGGACTCCCGAGGTTTTATCCCCGCTGGACACACGCCGCGGTGCTCGCCCACGGCGACGGGAGCCCGGCGGCGGGCACCGGGCGGGGAGAGGCTCCCCGCCGCAACCGGGGAAGGAGGACCGGGTCGGGGGGGGGGGGGGGGGGGGGGGGGGACGGGGGACGGACGACGACGGGGGACCCTGCGTCAGTGCAGGGCCGTCCCCTTCCCCTCCCCGTGCGCTCGGCTCTGCCTCCCGCCAGCCTCCCACGCCTCCCGCGAGGTGCGGCCGCGCTACATAAACACGGCCCTGCCGCCGGTGCCGGGGCTCTCCGTTCGCAGCCCGACGGAGGAGTCGGTCCGGCAGCGGGCAGCGGAGCGGCCGCGGGGAGCGCAGCGGCAGCGCGGCTCCGGCGCCAGACGGGGCGGGAGGCTGCGGCGGGCAGCAGCGGAGGGCTGCGCTCCCCCGAGGGCGGCAGCCCTGCCGTAGCCCAGGCGGCCGGAGGAAGAGGAGGAGGAAGGGCGTGGGCTCCGGCGGGCTCGCTCCGGTATGGCCCTGGCGGACAGCGCCCGCGGGCTGCCCAACGGCGGCGGCGTGTCGCCCGCGGCGGGGAGCGGCGCGCCGGGCAGCGGGGCGGCCGCAGCGGCGACGGGCGGCTGGTCTTCCTTCCCGGAGATCGTGGAGCTGAACGTGGGCGGGCAGGTGTACGTGACGCGGCGCTGCACCGTGGTCTCGGTGCGCGACTCGCTGCTCTGGCGCATGTTCTCGCAGCAGCAGCCCAGCGAGCTGCCCCGGGACAGCAAGGGTCGCTTCTTCCTCGACCGCGACGGCTTCCTCTTCCGCTACATCCTGGACTACCTGCGGGACCTGCAGCTGGTGCTGCCCGAGCACTTCCCCGAGCGCAGCCGCCTCCAGCGGGAGGCTGAGTACTTCCAGCTGCCCGACCTGGCTCGGCGCCTGGCGCAGACCCGGGCGGCCGCCGCCCGCCCCGCCGTCCTGCACCGCGACGGCTCCATCTGCGCCGAGGAGCCGCCGCCGCCGCTGCTCGGCTACCTGGAGGCCGAGCCGCTGGAAGGAGGCGGCGGGGCCGTGGCGTCCGCCCCGTCGCCCACCGCCAGCCGCAGCCCCTCGGGCGGGCCGCTGCTCACGCCCTCGCAGTCGCTGGACGGGGCGGGCGGGCGGCGCTCGGGCTACATCACCATCGGCTACCGGGGCTCCTACACCATCGGGCGGGAGGCGCAGGCTGATGCCAAATTCCGGCGGGTGGCCCGCATCACTGTCTGCGGCAAGACGGCCCTGGCCAAAGAGGTCTTCGGGGAGACCTTGAACGAGAGCCGCGACCCCGACCGCCCTCCCGAGCGCTACACTGCCCGCTACTACCTCAAGTTCAACTTCCTCGAGCAAGCCTTCGACCGACTCTCCGAGGCCGGCTTCCGCATGGCCGCCTGCTCCTCCACCGGCACCTGCGCCTTCGCTCCCGAGCAGGGCGGTCCCGCCGATGACAAGATCTGGACCAGCTACACCGAGTATGTGTTCTGCCGGGACTGAGCATCCGCCCAGCCCGCGGCGTGGGGACAAGACAGCCGGCCCTGCACACCCTCGCACCTGCGGTCCCCTCGCGTCCCGAAGGAAGGAGGATGTGAAGCGGGGCTGTGTCTCCCTGTGCTTTTCTCACCCGGTGTCTGCCTCCACGCACAAGGCGGGCCGGCCCCGGCGCAGCCCCCACCCCTCTTGCAGCACCTCCTGACGGCCCCGGGGCAGGAGGTCACCGTGTTGTGCCTCGGCTGTCGTGTCCCTGCTTGGCCATATCCTGGCGCCCACCTTCACCCTCTCTCCTGCATCTCCCAGTAGCTGTGTTGGTAGCAAGGAAGGAGAGAAATGTTGGGAGTAGACAAATGCCGGTCCCACAAAAGCATGCATGTGCGCCCAGTCTTTGTCCCTCTCCCCACACAGAGCTGAGGTATAGCTCTGGCAGGGTGGGACATTTAAAAAATCATCCAGGTAGGGGCTGATAAACTTTGAAGTTGCTTTGAGCAACTTCTGTTGAAGATGGCATGACAAATGCCTGTCTTTTCCCATCCCAATACCCTTATGAGGGAGTTTGCCTTGGTGGGCAGACCCCAAATGGTCCATTTTTAACTCCTCCCTTCCCCGCCCATCAAAGCGATGCCTGTCTGTGAGGGACTGTCACATAGAAAGGAAGCCTGACTGTGAGGGGTTTGCAGTGGCTCACACTTTATCTCTTGAGATGAGTAATTTTGCAGGAGGTGTGCATGTGGCCCTTCACAACTGGTTGCTCCCATCTCCCCTCTTTGCTCCCCACATCTCTGAACTCCTCTCTGTTAAGCTGAACCAGGGCCTGCACAGCAAGCATGTGAAGCTGATGTGAAAGGACAGATCTGCTGGATAACCAACCATTTGAACTATGAAGTGTCCTCAGAGACACGTGTTTATTCCCTTGAGAGGTAAAACAAAGACACTTTGAAAAATTAAAGTACTTATGAATTGTAACTTCCATGGGTGGTCTGAAGTCCTTATAATTCTCTTGAAGTTACTGTCTATAATATGGACAGAAATCTCAATGCATATTTCCTTAAACACCCTCAAAATGATGGGAGTCAGGTGAAGCCAGGCTTGCCTGAGTAAAGGTAGGGCCTGGGTCCTGGGAAGCTGAAATCCTGTGCATTGAATTAGTGCAAGATGTACATTATTACTGTCATCATGAGCAGCCTTGTTACTTTTTGTCATGTTAGTGCTGTAAAACCCTGAAGCCGGCAGATGACAAAAATCACTTTTTAAAGAGCCATTTCCTTAGTTTTCATAGCAGTATTATTTGGGCACTGACACTGTACCTCTTCTTAGACAAACTTAGTGCTTCTTAGAAAGGATTGAGCCCTGTCCTCAGAAAAACAAGGATGATGCCAACTTTCTTCAGGGGAAATTACTTCTTCTAAGCTGTATTTTGTTACTGCTGAATAACAGTCTTTCCCAGAGGAGGCAGTCAGAGTCTGCATTGGAACAGATGATCTGAACCTCAGGTTTTAGAGAGATTCAGCAGCTCTTTCTAACAAATTCTTGAAGTCTGGAATATAACAACACTTCTCTTTAAAAATCTAAACTTGATTTAAGAATGTGTATAGCCTGTTCAGACCATCACACAAAAAATATCCTAAATATATCTGAAGTGTTGAAGAATTTAGCAGTACATAGTAAAGGCTTGAAGTTATGTTTTTAAAACTCTTGAACAATAATTCTAGTTCTAGCTAGTTCTAGTTCTAACTTCAAATTTAGAAATACTGCTAGCACCTGTATTCTAACCAAAGAATTTCACAGTAGGGCTTTTTTAAAAAAACCCTAATTCCTTTGGAAACAGCTATAGCTACATTTCTATCTAGTTTCAGTGCTCAGTCTCTGTTCACTTGGTCTTTCATTAAGTGCGTGCACAACTACATAAAACTGAAAATAATTTTCATCACCATGGCTTCTTTTTTTCTAATATTAGCAAGATTGTTAATCAACGTGATTGAATTGAAGACGTGCATATGAAAGCACTGGATGCTGTCCATTTGTAGATAGTTGTATTACGGAGTATTTTTAAAAGGATAGAAATGTAAACCTGCCAAATTAGACGAGCAATAAGATACAGTGAGAGGCCAATACACCTGAGGATGGAATGAAGTCTGTTTGTCCTATGCCTTACTCTGAGCTGACTTCTTTGTGCTTTACTTTTACCACAAGTGAAAAGACATTGGTCACAGCTACTAGGTCTTTACAGTGCCCTTCTCAAGAGTAATGACCGTCTTTTTCTAGTTTCTGTTAAGTAACTCTGAAGTATGTTTTTTAAGATTTTGTATAAAATCAGTTTTCAGTAAAGTGTTCAAATTTGCTCTAGATAGCTTTCTTTTTTTAAGAATCTGGTAGCTTACTGAATCCATCATAGGAGCTATGAATAGGGGCAGTTTTAAATTTACCCTGTGATTTAGTGTACATATATATACAGTATATAAACATTTTACACAAATCATTTAGGTTTTTTTAAATAATATTAGTGCTACAGGATTTCATAATGTATCTAGCTGAGCATTTTCACATTATGTTATGTACATAACATGGTAATGTTTTACTGGTTTCTTATACCTGTTTCAATGGAAAAATTGAATATGAGTACCATCAGCTTGTAGAACTGAAATTGATGACATATTTGCTTGAATGTGAATCTTCTAGGTGGCTGAATGCATCTCTAAAACAAAGATTGCCTGTCTTTTGATTAATGGTTGCCTATCCCTTTCCTGGCAGATGACCCAGTAATTCTCACTTTTTACATAAAAATGGATGTAATATAAACAGGATTTTTTTTTTAGTTTTTGTGCAAAAAATTTTAAAGTGTTATTAGTGTTAAGAAATGGGCCTTTAATTTACTGATAACTCATTATCAGTATCATCAGCAGGCTTAAAATGATGGTGCCGTAAATATAATAGTCATTTGATGCTTTGCCACAGAAAATGATACTTTTCTGAACCATTACTTGGTAATGGCAGTAAACTTTCTAAAAGGAAAAATGCTCAAGGCAAAGTCAATGAGTTTTACTTGTCTCTTCTATTGAGAGCTTGAAGAATGGATAAACACAACGACTCTGCTGACTTGTTGACATGAAAACATGCAAAAATATAAAGGCACAATACGGGAGTCCTGTCTGCATTTTGTAGCTGTTGCTGTTCACAGTTCATGTACTTATGGATGAATGCAGTAGCATTTACAAGTGCTATTAAAAAATCCACAAGGGCAGTCTTTATTTTAATTAGAACTTAAGGCATAGGTCTTTTCAGTGATGCACATGATGAAGGGTGATTTTGCATATGTTTGATAGGATGTTTATATTTTTATACATGTAGATAATGAGCCACTTATTCATTCTTATTTTCACATGTATAGCATTGAAAATAAAGATCCTCCTAAGACAAAGTTGCATACCAAATTAAATTTTTGTTCTTTAAATATTAACTTGGTTGTGTGGTTTCTGCTGTCCTTTTTTATTCTCTGTGCAGATGTTGTCAGCTTTGTTCTCCCAGAGTATCATATTCATAACTTCAGCAAAGACTCCAAACTAATGTGTAAAGAAAAAACACAAGAAAGTTATGTATACAGAGACCTCTAGTAACATCCAGGGCAAGATAAACAGAAATGTATAGTACTCAAGACTGCATAATTTCCTTTTAAGCATCACAGAGAATTTTTGTAGTACTGGTCAGTCAATCCTCAGGAAGAAACAGTGATTGAACAGCTTAATTTGAATAGCACTGAGTAATTGTTGAAGTCAAATGTTGATGTTTTTTATGAAGCCAGAGAATAATAACATGGGATACAGTGCTCATTTAATGAAAGAAACATTGATACCTAAGGTAATACATGATCTGAGAGAATAGCATCTAGGAATTTTAGTTAGCTACCCAATGATATCTAACAAACTCTTCTAAACTTGTGATCAGCTTCATAGAAAAATAGTAGTGACTTGTTAGTATAATCCACGTGTGAAGTGCCTGTGCATTTAATAGTTCTTTCTTGGGTATCATGGCTATACTACAAAGGAACCAGCTGAAGGAAGTTTAATCAACTGTTTAAGTATTTGAGTGCTTGGTTATCATGCAATAATATAAGAAAGGAGGTCATTCTATGAGCAACAAAACTTTGAAGGCTAGGTCTCATTTTCTTTGTATTACTCCTTCTGCTCATCCCTGCCAATTTTATTCAATTTCTTGAAAAAGGAGGCACATTCCTTGGCAGAGCCACCTTCTGCTAGGCTGAAGGTTATGGCTGAATTTTGGCTTTGTCCCTCCATGAACTACAGATTTTCTTCTTCCTTTTCCTTACCCCGCCATCAGTATTCATAGAATTTGTAAGAATGTAACAGCTGTGAGGTTTTTCAGTTCTTTTGATTGTGTTTCAATTACACATCGGTTCAGAAGTTAAGGGGGACAGATATCCGCCCAAATGGACAATGCAAATGCCATGAACTTTATTTCAGTAGGAAACAAGGCTGACAGAATATTGTGATTTATACCTGGCACTGTCTATATAGTCTGAGTGTACTAAATCCCTGTAGGGTGAGAAGGCAGCTGGTCACTCTTTTGCAGCTCTGACCAGTCAGTCAAACTAATGGGTATGCTAGAGTGTCTTAAAAATACTTACAGACTCCTAATTTCTGCAGCATTTCCAAGGCTGAATCAAAGTGTGTAGGAAATATTTTCTAAAGATTTTATTTGCCTCAGGGCAGGATTTTTTTTTTGTTCTTTTTTTTTTATTGTAAGAACCCTTCAGTACAGTTTTCAATGAAATATTAGTGCTAATGTGTTATTTATTTAGAAAGTACTTAGTTTTATGAAACCGAATGCTAATTTTGTTTTTCATTAAAATGAGCGGCATGTGTTTCTCCCCTGCTGCTAAACAGAACTCATATGTATGACTGCTGAAGTAGTAATGCCACCATTGCAAGTAGTTTGTTGGAAATCTGTAGCACAACTGCTGTGACAGTCAAAACCATAGCTGGTCAAATTATCACATTTCTTCCCCATTCTACTCTCCACTGTGCTCAAACTGGAATAAAATTAAACTCTGTTACATGTTTCTTGCTCTACAAATTTTTTAGCACACACTATGGAGCTTTTGATACTTCTGTCAAAGTTGCTGGCAACTGTGAGTCGAGGATTTGAAGCAGGTCTGTTTCCTTGTGCGGAAATAAAAGCTAGGAAATATTCCTGCACAAAGTGGGAGCAGCTTCAAGCAATTTGGGAAAAATTTTTAGTATCGCAGGAAATCAGATATTTTTCTGTATAATCCAAGTAATACACTCACACATTATACCATCGTGCAAACCCAACCTGCCCTGGAAAGCTAAAGTCCTTGACAACATTTGCTTGTTCTAGGTTTTATTTTGTATCATCTGGATGAGAGAAATTCTTGTTTTTCTCCTTCAAAAAAGCTCAGTGTTTAGCAGCTGGGAAATGAAAATGTTAGCGGTACACCTTGCTTTGAGTTAACATTTCGTCATCCTTTTTGTTTCAACATAATGCAAAAGGTAGAGAAGTTCACATGGGAGCATATAGGAATTATAGAATCATGGAATCACTAGGATTAGAATGCTTAGCTCCATGTAGCCTCTGACTTACCTTTTGCAATTTAACAATTTTCTCGACCTAGAATTTAAGTGTAGGTTCATTGAAGTTCAGCCAAAGAAGTTGAGACCAGAATATCTAGATTGTGATCACAAAAACAGGTCTATTGATAAAGACTGTTTTTAATTTGTAATTTTGAGGTAAAGACAGAGCCTTGGTTAGTTTATTAAGGAGCAGGTTGTTATTAAAAACAAAATAAAATGAAGGAAAAATCCTCCCGTCCTCTCCTGCATTCTTGAGGAGGGAATGCAGTGCTGGTGTGATGAGAGAAGCCTATCATTTTGATTTCAGAGACAACTGAAATAACCCACAATGTTGCCATCTCAATTCTGTCTGTTTTTCTGGTCTTGGCTGAACTTTAAGATCACACACACACCTTTAATAAGTGGTCCTTTAGAAAAGCATATATTCATAACTATGTAGACTTCCATAAATTTGGATATAGTTTGGTTTTGACTCATATTTTCCAAATAGTTTAGTGACAATCTTTGTCCTCATATTACACCAAAGCCTGTGATTATTAGAAGCCTGAAGTTAAAGTTTTTCCCTTTAAAAGGGCAGAGACTGTACCAAGAATGACTTTTTTTTTTTTTTTTTCCCCTTCCTGGCCATGCCCAAGGTAGCACAGTAGTCCCTGAGCCAGCACAGTCCTGCTGCTGGTGCCTTGTCTGAATAAAGGGGCAGCATTTGTATTCTGGTACACTCTGTGCAGCCCAACAGCCACGAATTAGCACTTCTTCTCCAGGAGATTTCTGACCCACTTATTTCCAGGGTTTGCTTTCACAGTCTGCACTTTATCTGCTGTCTCGAGGTATGGTTGGAATATGGGAAAGGTTTAGCTGTTTACAGAAGTCTGTCTAATAGTTTATCTGCCATGGCACTAGAGGGACAATGAGGACAACTCGCTTAGAAAGAGTTTTATAGTTCTTTAAAATTTTATGGTCTAAATAAACCATGGAAAGTGCTGCATAAACTGTATTAACACTGGGTAAAGGCACCTTTTCTGTTTAAGGTGAGAATGATAACTTCATCAGTTTTGCTGGAGCACTAGCATGTTCATTCTGTTGGACTCATTCATATCATTCTAGAGGCTGAAGGGCACTCACCTGAAGGTAACTGGACCAAACAGTCCAATTTCTTTAGAAAATGTTAGATTAAGAGTATATGTATACAAATGCACCAGTGTTTCTTTTTCTAGAAGAGAAGTTTCAGCTTGACAATAATCAGATAGGATGTTTTCCAACACATCACCTCCTAGGGTTTGAGGACAGAAAGAAATGTCCAGATCATGTGGTCTGCCATTCAACATAGCGTACACTGTAGGGCTTCCCCTAACAGAGTCTTTAAATCAGGCAGTGAAATTTCTTGGACTGTCATCTAACTTCATGGATGATACTGCTTATGCACAAGGACACATCACAGCGCCTGGTTAATTGTTAGGCTGTGAATGCCACCAGCTTTGGCTTTCGCCCAGAAGGGTCTGCAGTGTCTTCTTCATCAACGCTCCGAGGCTGTAGCGAGTGTTCTGCCTCAGGAGGGTATGTCCAGAAGTACTTCCATTGATCAAGACCTGGGGATGAACTGTCCTGTGGTGTCCTTTGGTTCCTTGCCAGTTGTCCCTGTAACCAGTTTTTCACTGGCATTACTGATGTGGCCGTGGAGTGGACCAGTTCAGGGAGCTGGTGTAGATGGAAACCGTAAAACAAGGAAAGAGGAAAAAGCAGACCTATTTTCAGCTGGATCAGCTCCCAGAATGGGCTCACAGCATAATGGAGTTATTAGTGTTGGGCGAAGGAGCCTAATATCTAAACAGAATGAGCTCCTGTGGTCTGTCAGTAAGGCATGGTTTTCACTCCTTTACTCATCTCCTGTCTCTTTTCTAAATCCTCTTCAATTTATCAATGTCTTTTGAACTTCTGATTTCAGATGCTTCCCATTCTAATAAGGGAATTCACCAAAAAAAAAGAGAAACATTGTCCTAGCCTCTGGGTTTTTTCCATTTGTTTCTTCAAGGTTTGAATTAGCAGGCCTAGGGGTTTAAGTGTCTCTGGAGTTTATGTTCAGTAAACAATGACTGCGAGCACCTCTATTCTGTCTCCAGAGCTCTGTCCCAATTATCCATCAAAATGCATGGGAGTTCCTAAGATGTTTTCTTATTAAACATTATGCCACAGTTTAACTTGAAACAACTAAGGAACAAAGCCTAGTAAAAGTGATCTATTTCCTACACATCAGTGTTGATGGACAGCACTGTGACATGAATGCTCATGGTTATTGCATTGGATAGGTAGTTTTCCAACCACATGAATGGATGACTAAGCATTGATTGACAGGTTGGCAGGCCTGAAGTTCCCAAATTACCCAATTTTCTTTTAGCCACAGTCCAAACAGTCCGTGCCTTTTCCCAGTTCTTGGGAACTTCTGCAGGGATCTGAGATTTTTGAGAAAGCTGCATTAGTAAATACACAGGCTTGTAAACATACCAGATACAAATTGGCCAGACCTGACTGAAAAAAATACTTGTTGCTCATATTTATTTTTATTAGTTTTGGAAGGGAAATTGATCATTATTCCTAACAGACCTGAATAGCAAAATGTTTATACTTCTCCTGAACTTACAAGCCTACAAATTTCCTCTAGTAATGAATCTGTACAATTTTTCACATTGTTCCAAATAAAATTAAATAATTTCATTTGTAATCATGCTGACTACCACTTTCTTTGTGTCTTTTTTCTTACCTTATTAAATTTATGCAATGCAGTTAGTACAGTATTTGGAATTTATAGCTTTGATTTATACAGATTGGTGTAGCCTCCTCTTTCCATTTTAGA